TGTATGTATGTATGTATGTATGTATGTATGTATGTATGTATGTATGTATGTATATATATATATATATGTTCCATTTTGTTTCACAACCTTTCCATCTCTTGAGTAATGTACACATTTTATTTGTTTTCAGCCATTCCGATATATTCAGACCTGTATCGCCTACTAAAAATCGGCATGGACTTTCCAGACAGCCCAATATATTCTCGAAGCGAATTTGTTATTCCAGGTCTTTGAAGATACTCATTTTGGTAGGGACTAAAGGGATTTTAAAGGAAAGACGAAGACCGAGTATTCCGGACGTAAATGCTGATACCATGACCGTTTAATCTGTCTCGTTACTTCACGCCTCCGTAATAACTCTTTTTCACTCGGTTATCGAACTTGACGTGGGACCCCGGATTTCGACACCGTCCATAAATAAAACCCAACTATTTTCATCGATTTTGTAATAATTTTCGTCTGGATTTGTACACAACCGTGTTTCGAATTAATAGGACTCGTGGCATTAAAGTATTCTTGTTATTCTTGATATATGTTTACAAACACGTGGTCGAAAAAGTTTCACAACAGTAATTGTAGCTTGTTATGCTTACTACAGAAAGTATCGTTGATTTTCGAAAGTTTTACCTTCCAGTAACTTGTGTACAGTATGGTTTATTTTGAAACTTTACACGAATCGAATCGGAAGAATTTTTGAACGCTGAAATATTTGTACAAACCATTGATCGAATTTTTCGCAGTTCAAGCGTAATGCGACGCAGACCGAAGCACGTGTATCTTGGTCGATATCATTATCATCGAATGCTGCACACCTGTAGATAATAAATACATAATAGTAACCAACTTCCTCGCAAAGTTCAAGGGGCAGCGGGTTAATACATACCTGTACGCTCGTCTTTCTCGCACAAAGGCTCTCCACTATCTCAGATGAAACTAATAATATATTCACACAGGGGTAGCTACGTATTAATAATCGATAGGTCATTTCCAATTTATTACTTTACCATGATCTCGCATAATATTCTTCGTCAAGTTTGATACTTCCATCCAAACGAGATGTATACGCTTTCTTTATTTATTTAAACGTTGTGTAGTCCTAATGGACTGTTTACACATTTCCTGAGACATACATCTCCTTAATATGAAGGTACAAACGTAGCTTTGTGATATAAAAATATAACTCTTTCAAATGTAGTCTTACTTATCTAACTTACCTCTTAATTATTCTTAATGCTTAAATAACACAATTGCATATTTGGTATATGTTGCATTTACATCTGAATATATCTTATAATATTATATTAAATTAACCCGTCTTTGTTATTGTTTTGTACTCCAAGAAAGAGAAGAAAGAGGGAATGAGGAAAAAAAGCTTATGGCAAAACAAAATGATACGACATAAAACAAATTAAACTTAGATGTATACGCGTATAAATAATAAGTATTTAATGGAGTAATAGCAAAAATTGATTAATTCTGTTCTGTTGTTTATCTATAATTTTGGATGGTTTTAAATTTAATGGCACTGTCATTGACGGCTATGTCCGTCGGCGTAATTTACAGAAATGGTAGAGTCGATGAAGAAGGTCGCTTCGCTGGACCTGGAGTTGACCGTCGAAGAGAGGAATCTCCTCTCTGTCGCATACAAAAACGTAATCGGGGCGAGGAGAGCTTCCTGGAGAATAATCTCGAACATCGAACAAAAGGAGGAGAACAAGGGCGCCGAGGGGAAACTGGAGATGATTCGTCAGTACCGATCTCAAGTAGAAAAAGAACTCAAAGACATCTGCGCCGATATCCTCGGGGTTTTGGATCAGCATCTGATACCGTGTGCGTCCACCGGCGAATCTAGAGTCTTCTATTATAAAATGTAAGCAACTTCGCTATGTTTTAAGAACTATCATTCTCTACCTTAGAAACCAGTCCTCCCAATCGCTTCTCGATTGCTTTAAATTTGACCAAAGAGTCGCTTTAATCTTAAGATACGTTTGCATACCCTTTGTAACGTGTAATACACTACTCAAAGTAATTAGAGGATCGCTTACTCGAATTACTTCATTGTTCTTTAAGTCAACGCTTTGTTTTTCTTAGAATTGTATCACAGACCTGTAATTGCTTCCAAGAGTATATCTCATGCTACAATTGGATTATGCAATAATGGGTATGTAAAGGATAAGACACCTTTCAAAATTTAAAGAAGCAAACGATTAACAGTATAGCATGGTTTAATTGTATTACGCAAAACGTTTAACGTGCAATTGCGTTAGACCATGCTTTTACTGCTATTTATTTATTTATTTGCTTCCTGAAAATCAGTCGTTATTAGCGATAGCAAGCAGATTTCTGCTTGTACTGTTTAGTTTGAGAGTAGCCAGTAGTATGGAAGAACGTCCCGTTTCGGCCACTGGTTTTGACTTATTGTTTTTCTTTAAACATCCCGCTGCCTGGCCCAATCCTTCCGCAAGGATAATTACCACGTTCCGGATGTAACACATAAATAGTGATTAATTTCAAAAATTCATTTCTATTGTACAGTTATATACTAATTTCATCAGTATTATTTAATTCCAGGTTGAGCGGACTAGTAATAATATCATATTTCCCACAAAGTTATTATTGAATTGCAAATAAAGCAATATCCATGTCCATCCATATCCAACATTAATATTAATTCGATTAAACAATATGTGGGTACTTCTGGTTCGTGAACTCTATGGAAAAATATGTTCATAAAAATACATGTTTCGCGAGAGTCTGCTTCCGTGTTCCGTTCACTTTTGTGTTGGATAAAGTTTTCGCTTATTTTTAGAAGAGGCCCCGAAAGTGGCTTTCTTCGACCAGTATAAAATCTCGAAATGATTTCTAGTGTACCATAAATTAATGGTGAAAGAGAATTCATTAAAGGCGTACATGATACATCAAGTATTATTTGTAAATGAGTGAAATTACTTTGAAGAGAAATTAGAGCAGTAATTATTTAGTACAGTTATATTTGTATCTCATAGAGCAATAAGATCTCTTGAACGTACGATCTTTTAATTGTTTTAAGGAATTAATGAAGCACACAAGTGTCTATGCAAATTTTTGTTTATGCTAGTATAACGAGTTCACTGCTGCAAGTACTCATACAGCACATTTTGTATCGACATAATAAGTTGCTGACTGCAATGGCGTGTCCTACAAAATGTTGCTCATTTTTATTTAAATACTAATTTTCGAAGGTATACATTTTATTTGTTTGTTATTTTTGCGTTATTATAGGAAGGGCGATTACCACCGTTACCTAGCCGAATTCGCCATTGGTAACGACAGGAAGGAGGCGGCAGAGAATTCCCTCGTTGCTTACAAAGCAGCCAGCGACACTGCTATGACAGATTTGCCACCGACTCATCCCATCCGCTTAGGATTGGCACTCAACTTCTCTGTGTTCTATTATGAGATTCTCAATAGCCCCGACAGAGCGTGCCGCCTGGCGAAGGCAGCCTTTGACGACGCGATCGCGGAATTAGACACCTTATCCGAGGAGAGTTACAAGGATTCCACCCTCATCATGCAGCTCCTCAGGGACAACCTTACTCTCTGGACGTCGGATATGCAAGGAGACGGTTAGTATTGCTGTTATGGAGGTTTCGTGTTCGCGAAAAAGTTTTAGAAGCTTTTGAAACGCTCCCACTAGGCCGTAGAAACGCCCGTCACCACGATCAATAATATGTATCGCGGTAGCGCGATAAAATCTTTTCGTTGTATTAGATTTTTTTCACATAGATACACAGCTCTGTGGATAGAGTCGACGAACTTGCGGTGAATCTTTGTTTGTAAAGCTTTATCATTACGTCGAACTTGCGCCGGATTAAGATTTTTTAGACCCCCGGGCTACAGATACTAAATCCGTTGTTTACTACAAAGATATCAGATGTTTATAGTGTTTCATTCTTATGTTTCATCAAATTGCCTCAAATTAATTTCTACAGACCTTGGGTCGTAGCCCCTAAAGTCCATTCCTTAATCCAGCCCTGCGTCGACATGGTACTCTAGTCCTGTTAGATTTTAAATAGTACTTTCGAAATCGCGTATTTCCGGGCGAAGAATCATTACTTTGTAATTTAGAATTTGACGCTGATCGCGAAAATGAGGCTGCGGCCGCTTCCACCAATGCATGAATACAGACACACCCTTTTCAATACGTCCTTGCACCATAAAGTCACCTGGTGAGCAACTTACTCCTTCCCTGCGCATTCAAGTATCAATACTTTCGATACCCAAAAGTTAGACAGTTATAACATCGTTATAAATTGTTGGTGCGTTAATGAAGCTGTGGCTGCTAACGAAATCATTTTTTTCAGGAGAGGGTGAACAGAAGGAGCAGTTGCAAGACGTGGAAGATCAGGACGTATCGTAACTCTAACTGTAGTGAGTGTTACATTGCGCATATAAAACTGAGACACAAGAAAACAAAAAAACTCTTAATAACTTGTAAGCAAAAGAAAACAATTCAGCAGGTGGCAGTTCGGGGTGGGAAGGGGAGATCTTTAGCGATTGCGTGACCCTAAGCACGCACGTACGGTTACTCCAAACAGAAAAAAAAATCATTCGATAACACGCATTGAGTTACGGAGCACGCAGAAAGTAACAAGCAAAGGACACGCACCCTGCGGTAATAGAGAGACTGCAAAAAGCATTTAGAGAGGCACTATTCTTTGCCTTCTTCGCGTATCGAGAAGATAAAAATGCTGTCTTTACACTTGTGCATGCCCGATCGAAAAATTACGTGGACGATGTCGAGAACCTGTGTCGAGTGGACGCCGACCGACTGCGTATATGTCATCCATAATAAAAAAAAAACAAAAAGAGAGAGAGAGAGAGAGAAAGAAGTATGCGCCAGTCCATCGGGACCGATCCGATCCCCTCACTTTTATCGGTTTCAGTGAGTGAGAATGAATTAACGATGTCCCATACGTTTCACCAAATAGCGAAACATGCTGATGCTCGACGTCGATCGAAGTGCATTATTGTGTTCGTTTGTTTACCCTCCTAAATCAATCTCCTCCTCGTCCTCTTCCCCGCTTTTTTACTGCGCGCATGATCGTTCTCGCATACTATAATAAATAACGATGTTAATTGTATGCGTGTAAATCGAGTGTAAATCATCTGTTTATCCATGGAGGAACAATCCAAGGATAAATTCTCCTCAGGTCGAAGGGACGTGGTTGTCTGCCCTGGCGTATACAGTCACGGTCGCCAACCACGTGTCTTCGTTTCTGCTTTCTGTATAAGATATTACGAATGTACTTCCGAACGAAGTCCGGTTCAAGTAATTTCATACATAGTTGGAGCATGAGTTTTCGTGTAGTGTCGTTAAAAGAATTTATGGAAATGCGCTTACGCGAAAGCGTCGTACTTAATGCAATAACATCAGTATGGCCCGAGAAAGAAAGAGGAGAGAGAGAGTCTGGCTTTCGCGAATGAAATTTTGCGTTGAAATAAATATATATTCGAAACCGAGCGAAATAAACAGTATCATCTTCGACGCGTCGGACGTTCTTTTCACTCACTTCTCTGCACTCCTCTGCGACGAGAGTGAGAATTTATTTTTTTTTTTTTTTTTTAATCTACGAGAAGCATGGAAAAGAACATATTGTGGTAGATGAGCTTTTTTTAAAACAAACAAAAAAAAAATTACGTTTCACGAAAAAAACATGAAAAGGAAACAAGTAGCTGTCTAGCTAGTCTGTAATTGTGGTTGTACTTTTTCATACGCCCCCCCATTGTGTAAAACTATAAACGATCGCTGTGGTATAACGAATTACAGAATAAACGATTGTATCCCGACTTTGTTCACCCGCGCTCACTTTCGCTATCACTCTCCTCGATTCCACTGTATCTTGGTTGATATCTGCCCGTGGCGTCCGTTCACCTTTTTATCGATGAACCGTTTCCGGCGACTTCCGTTTCTAAACATTCCAGCGACTTTAGACGATTTGTTCGTTAGTCTCACGCGAAATTCGTTTGCGCATGTTAACGAGGTAAGCTTAGCGATACGACATCGACCATTTATTTATTCGTTAGAGTAGACGGTGACGGTCAGAAATTTTCGACGCCAACTTCTGCAAACACAACATTGATGTATCCGCGACGAAACTAACCTTCTGCTACGTAATATGCCCGATCGAGAACTTCTATCGTTTAGATCGACCATTATTTAACTCGTAAATACGTAAATAACCAAGGGATAATTCCTTTAGCGTAGAAACCAAGAGTTGGACAAACTTTACACTTTAGAGTTATCAACAAATTGCTGACCGCCACTGTATACTGGTAGCAGAACCGTGCGAATCTTTGGGACTCGTACGATTTTCTTGCAATGGCGATGAGGATGATCGTGATTCGTGTAAGCGTGCAGCAAAAAAGCGAGGTGTATTAACGTAAAAAGGCGAAGGGAACGCGCAGTATCGAGCTCTGCCTAGAAATCGGGGTGCATCGTGCCCCTGTATTTAGGTATTAAAAACGATAAAAATTGATAATCATGTTATAAAGTACGTTACAAAGAATAACTCAAAGTAATATCAACGGCACCGTAAGTAAGTATATGCGAATAATTATAAGAGCGTAAATTAGAGTATCGTGGAAAACCGATTGATGCGAATCGTTCTAAGCGATATTGGAGAGAACAGTTTTGAAGAACAGTTTGTATCGTCGAAGAGAGTTCGAAGCAATTAAAATCGCATGGGAGATAGATACGAAGGTAATGGGAACTGTATGAAAAAGGATGGAGGAACAGTGAGAGCATAAGGAAAAAAACCGGAACCATCAGCTATGAGTTGATACGTGTAACGTGCATTAAACGCCACGCGTACGAGCGACAAGTCTTGGAAAATTTAGGTACAATAAAAACTTGTCAGCGGCAACGAATGGCGTAGTGAATTCCAAACGACGATAAACTGTGAGATACCTCATCCAATTACTTGCTTACACGATGGATTAAAAACAAGATGAAGCAGCCCAACGCGATAATATTATTGTCGTCTACGATATAGCGTGACTCAAACAATAAAAATGAAAAAAATAAGAAAACGTAGTGTTTCCGGCTAAAAATAAAATTATAGGTAGTCATCGATATCTGAGTTGTCCGTAGGAGTTATCGAAGAAGATAGACGATCGGTGTATCGATTGAGACCGCTTTTTATCCTTTATCCAGTATCGTTGTGCGTGCTTAGTCGATTTTTATAAAGACACATCTATTATTCCATCTCTTGCTAGATGTACTATTTGCCTCTCTTGTCTCTCTGTATAATAATATTAGTTGTATCTGTAATTATCTTCGGATCATTCCATCTTGTCGCTAACCCAATTCACGAGCGAATAATTAGACCTGGATATCAAAATTTATCGTCATTTGGAGGAGGGGCTAAATCTGTCTTTTTTTGGATTCGCATGCGTTTCCACGCTCTGTTCTACTACAATCAATGCGATTACACCGGATACGACCTTTTTCTGTAAAACCACACACGTGAAAGCTACAAATAAAGTAATTACAACTCTCTATTCAGATATTTATTAATGTTAATTACTTTATTAAATATCGGTTCATTAGTTGAGGAAATTAAAATTAAGCGTTCAAGGCGTTTTCTTTGTATCGCAGTATTGTGTACAGAGTGAGTCACCCAACATTAGATTGTACATTATTTTGAACACTACCGATGCTACAAAATCCATACAATAAAACGGTATCTAATATGTTCTATAGAATTATAATTGAATGTATATTAGAAAGAGACAGTGTTAACAACAATTAAATATATGCATTATTACGACCTACGCACTGTAAGTCTGTAAAATACAATTATCTTGTTGCTCTACATCAAATTATAATTCCATGGAATATGTTCGTTGCAATTGCCACATGTATTGCTTCTCTTAACATAAAAGGTTAACGAAACTTTCTGTAACATTAACACACTGCTCAAAATAATTGAAAATTCATCTGCTTCGTGCTTTTATTCAAACCTGATACATATTTAATTCTACTTAATTGCCTAAATCCTCTGATTATTTTGAACAGTATATCGATGTGTTAGGTGATCCAGTCTGTACATATCGAGTAATGTCAATCAACTATATAAAATGTATCCTTATTCGCTAACGTTGCACTATTTATAGTCTTGTCAATTAATTAACAAATTTTTACAACGCGGCTACGCAATCATGGATTGCGAGTTGACATTTTTTGCATCGGAATTCTGCAGGTGTTTATCTCTAGCGATAGCGATGTCGCGAAAGTTCGACGCGCTCGATAACAAACGCCTTGGTCTACGCCTACTAACATCCACCTGTTTCAGGATTCGTTCCAACGTGTTATCCCCTCCTCTTGTGATTGGAGACAAACTGAGACTTGATCCAGTTCTCGATTTGATCATGCGAGCACTTCTCGGAGATCTCATTATTTGGTCAGTCGTTCTGCGCCTGGCAGACTTTAGTTTTACGCTACGCAGCATGTCCAAAGAAACCACTGGTCCCCTTGGTCCTGGTATAGTATTCCTTCTGTTGTCCTGAAATTCATATTTTCTCCTTTAATTATCTTTGTAAACCCTACACAGGTTGGATGTTTTGTAGATGAGCTGCAAGATTGAAGGAAGACACAGAATTCAACTTTTATTTTTGTTAAATTGACACTGGGTTCAAAGTCGATGAGAATGATTTATTTATATTTGTTGGAAAGCTCTAAGGGTTTTACAAGAACGACGCAACAAATTCATTTTATAGCGCGTTATTTTTCAACTTACGCAGATTGCCTTGAGACTTTTAAATAACACCCTAAGTGTCCGCCTGAATGGCAACGAAGGCTGGGAAACAATTAACGCGACTGAAAATTGTGTCACTCTAACAAGCGAGTGGATCTTAAAAAATTCCTCTTTAAATCTTAACGCTTGAACTTGATAAAGTCGTCGCGGTTACTTTGTATCAGATATTCAAATATTAGCTGGTATTTTATATGACTAAAATATAAGCTTAAATTTTTAGATCACACATGAACACATCTCTGGGCCACTTCTCATATTTCAATTAGCGAATGCGACCGCGACAATTCTAGTAATTACCTTAACGTTCTCTGGTGCTTTTTTTAGGGTCACCTTCAACAAATCCTCGACAGTTATTGCTGGCCTATTAAATAGAGGCGTCGAGCATTTTCTCGACTGCGCCCTGGCGCTTCTACCGTTCTTCGGGGTGGTAGGTGTGATCGGTTGCGCCGGGGACAAGAACGATAAAGGTGGCGGCGGTGGAGGAGGTGGCGGCGGAGGTGGCGGCGGAGGTGGAGGCGGAGGAAGTGGAGGAGCACATGCTGGCAAAGAAGACTTCGAAATCGGCGGCATCAACAGAGGAGCTGGAGGTTTGGGAGACCTAGTTCGCGTATCCTCTAATGTCTTGTGCAACTTCTTTAATTCCTGCATCAGTGTTTCGTTATTTTCAGCCAGCTTCCTGCTGACATCCTGCAAAATACCGACCTCTGCAGTTAAAGCATCCAAGGCAGTGGCATTACTGGCGCGCACCTGCGACGAAAATTAATTTTTATATACAATGGTGAAAAAACTAGATACTTATTTTCCGAAAGAATTTATTTCCCATACTAGTAACACCTGCCTACCTGAGAAATCTCCATAGTTAGTTGATTCACTTTTTCCAAGAAGGTATTAATCATTTGCATGTTCTCTGAACGCAACATTATCATACTCTGATTCAGTTCTTCAAGTTTAAGTACATGTTTTTTTGAAGAAGATACCGAAACGTTCTTCTTCAACCATCCATATTTCTAAGACAATTAGTCAGTCATTAGTACAGGTTATTTGTTAAACAAAATGATGCGTACCTACTTTTTTAAACACACGTCCCAGTCTCTTCAACAACCAGACACATAAGAAGACAGCTTTAAGTATTGGCTCTTTAAAATTTCGAGATTGTTGTGATTCGTTATCTTGTTGAAAACTGGAGCATGTACATTTTTTACAGAATTCTGTCCTTTGTTTGAGCTGCAATTAAAAACGAAATTTATCAATTTTTCATTTAGAATGGAATACTACCTAAAGAAGATTTTAATTAAACGAATTACTTCTTGCAGGCTCCTACTACAGTCATCAGAATCTAAGACAGTTGGTAAATCCAGAGTAGAAACAATTGGTAATTCGGGTGTGCGGGTATCCCAACTTGTCTTTGTACTTGGTGAATTAGAAGAATATGAATTTTTAACATTTTTTTTCTCTCCTGACATGAGATCATTAACTGGGGTAGAAACAGCTGGTTTTCGAAATTGTTCAATGTCCTCTTCATCGTCAAATTGTAATGTAGTTTTACATCTTTTAGCAGGAGGTTGAGAGCTACAGCAAGGCGTGGTGGAACAAACTCTTATTTTCATCCCATTGTTTCCTATCTCTATGTATTCCTGTAGATCGTCCACTTTGTCAGTTTCGTCCAGGAAAGGACGTTTATTAGTGTGCTCTTGTGAACTTGTAATGCATTCCCTCGCTTGTATTTTTAAATCATTTAATTGTTGTAAATATGAAATAACTCCCCTGCAATCATTCCAGTTAGCAGTAACAGAATTATTATCCGCGTCTTGCAAGGTCTTCTCATTGACTATTTCAAATCTGACACCTTGATCCTCTTCTCCATTGCATTTCTTACAATACTCATTAGTCTTATCCTCATCTGCAAACTGACTAACAGGTTCGCACGCAGACATAGCTGATTGAAATTCACTTACAAAACAGTTAAACTCGTGATTTTGCGACTCCACATCAGAATTGAAATTAGAAAACTGTACTGGTTCTGATACATATCTACACATTAAGTTATGTGCTGACTTGTCAGAGCGAAAATCAGTGTCAGTGTCAATTGACACTGTTTTATCTAATAAAAAGCACTTCTCTACAGGTGCATCGATCTCTTGCCTTAGCTCTTTTTCTACCTGCTTCACTTCGATTAATGCTGCTTCCTTTTGAATTTCACTGTCGCTTTCTACATCATCTTTCTCCGAATAATTCAGATCCAGTTTCCTTCGCCTAAGTCTGGGTACAATCTCCGGGCTAGTATTATCGTAGCATGACAACTCTAACTGTTGCGACTCGCAAAGTACCGACTCCGGAGAACGTTGCTCCAAAAGTCTTTCAGACGATTCCGATCTTTGTTTCCGTTTTGATCTCTTGTAACTTTTTCCCTTAGCCATGACTATTTTCTCTATTGTCACTTTGTCTTTTATATTTAACGTTTACGTACAGTGAGTTCGTGGAGTAATAAAGTTAATATTAACATTTTAAAGGTAACAAATTTTCTAAGAGATAGATACAATCAAACCGTTGTACCTTTTCAATACACGGGTGACTTTGAACTGAATGTGTCGGCTTCGGTTCTCTCCAAATTATTGTTTATTTTGATTTAGAATACAGTGTACCAGAGATTTGTTGTTGTGTAACTGTTGGTAATATAGTGTTCTTCAATGCGTATATTACTCATACCTTTAATGAATATGTTTCCATCATGTTGACAAATGATAACCTTTTATCATATAAAATGCTAATAAAAATGATAGAATAATGGTAAAGGAAATAATGAAAATAATTTTGTTTCTGATCAAAGGGCGTTTATTTTTAACTTAGCTACATCACATTTTAACGTTTCGATACTTGTTTTATCTTTGAATAAGACTTAAAAATGAGTATTATTTATTAGATAATAAAATGTTCCTTTCTGCCTTTCAGGTTTTGTACGTTTCTTTACTCATTGTTGATTACAAATCAGTTTTACTTTTATCTACACTGTACACGATGTAAGTTCATCTATTTATTGGCATGTATAAAGGATTAAACCTTTTTTAATTATCTCTTCGTTTGCGTACAACGCAAACATTTTCAACAACAAATACTGAAAGTCTTCGATTTCTTTTCGATTGTTATTGATCACGCCTCTATCTAGTGTCTCGATATCCAGTATTCACTTCTTGTTCACGAAATCTTCTCCTTTCTGAATATTCTTCTTGAGTTCTGGAATAGCTTCCTCCAAGAGTTTCTTCTCGTAGCTGTTAAGCGTTCCAAGACCGAGATTCTTCTCAACTCCTTGTTTCTGAAATCGCAACGAGAACATAATATTTTGCATACGAATACGGGTTTCGTCGTTTATAAATCGCACTTACGCCCAGCAGAATAGGCGTCGAGAAATATTTAGCCGCTGTAACATCAGATCTGACGTAGGAGCATTCTACGATGTTCTGTTCCCCATTCAACGCTCTGATCAACGATATACCGAATCGAGCACCCGCGTACGCCATCGAAAGCGTGGCAGAACCGGTACCAGCTTTTGCTTTGACAACCTCTGTACCAGCTTCCTGGATACGTAAAGTGAGAGCTTTCACTTTATCTTCTGGAAAGGAGACTGATGGTTTGCACTGTGAGAGCAGTGGAATAATAGTGATACCGCTGTGACCTCCGATAACTGGCACCGACGTCTTTTGCGGATCAAGACCCTGAAGAAGAGATTCAAAGTAGATAACTATGCTTCAAGCATCAATAATAAATTTTTTCTACTAAATGTTATTTAAAGTAAATCTAACTTTTGCTTCAGAGATGAACGCGTTTGCCCTGACGACGTCCAGCGTGGTCACACCAAATACCCTCTTAGGATCGTAGACACCAGCTTTTTGCAATACTTCGCTAGCAATAGGCACAGTGCTGTTAACTGGATTAGAAATAATGGCAATAAGTGCCTTTGGGGCCATTTCAGCCACAGCCTGAACAAGATCCCTTACTATAGAGGCATTCGTATTGAATAGATCATCCCTAGTCATTCCTGGTTTACGTGGTACACCGGCAGGTATTATTACCACCTACAAAGGTTTAATAGTTAAAGAAAAAAATTCTTCTTCAAGCAAAAACGTTATTCTACTAAAATAGTTGTAAAACATACCTGTGCTCCTTTAACTGAATCTTTCAACTCGTTAGGACCGGTGAAAGCTTTTACTTTTGCCGCCGTGTCCATGTGAGAAAGATCAGCAGCGACACCTGGCGTGTTCACGATATCATATAATGATAATTCAGTTACGAGGGGCGATTGTTTCAAGAGCAGCGATAGCGGTTGCCCAATTCCACCGCTGGCGCCCATGACGGCGACCTTGGCATTGCGCTAAAAGATAACATAGTAATTAATAGAAATTAGCAATTTCTTTCGACAATAAATTTTCTGCAGAATTCTATGCAGAATCCTATCTTGCGTTGAAATTCTGTGAATCGTGTCGAACGAACATCGACCACGTTCCGACTGACATTGTTGTATAATAGCAATTTCATTAACAGTAACGTTATACGTTCAGCTTACAATAGCAATGTATTTTTTCATACATATTTCACAGCAAACTATATTTGCGGTTGCATAACTGTACTATGATACTTCCATACAATGAAGTATGGTGCAAAAAATGATTCGCTATATCGAAGCTTCGTAAAAAATTTAATTGGTATCGATGATGTGTCACGAAACGTATAAGCAGAAAAGAAGGAAAGTCATTAGAATACATTGTAATTTTGAAAAAACTCACTGTGGCACTGGTTGATAGTCGCTTTGCTCCTTGCTGAGCGACAGTCAACGTGGGCTTCAGAAAACGGGGCAACATGTTCGCTGGGTACTTCAGGCACAAATGTGACTGATTTCAAATTCGAGGAGACGACGTTCGATAACCTTTCAAAGACAACCCAATGACCTCAATGATGTTTCGTTCGTTCCGTTTCTCTCCACCCAATCGGTTGTAACGTACAGCAAAATACGTATGCCAGCATGCGCGTTTTCGCATGGATTACTTGCGCACGTCTGTAACCAACTGCGAAATTTCACGCGGGAACTTTTAAAGAAATTGCTTACTATTTGCATTATTTTTAATTCTCCACTGCATGATTTCATCTGACGAAAAAATGATATTTCTTAGTTAGACGCGCGTGGTTGAATTAATTAATAATGGTTGGGTCGACGAATGATCCATTGGTTCGGTACGAAATAATCATGAGTATTTACATGCTTCATTCATTCATGATTTTAATTATAATTTAATTCTTTGACCTTTTTTTGTCAATCTTAAACGTTAAATGAGTAGAAACGTCAACATTCTTTAATCTAGCGTGGATAATACAGCACGTTAGTGTTGGTTCGACACTTCGAAAGTCTGCACGCTTTGTTTACGATTGCATACTCATTTACTAAAATTAGTGAATAAAGTGAGAGAATTGTGATGAATTTGTAAAAAATGTCAAAAGACCAGTGTTTGTGACTGTTACAAATAATAACTGCAGTATTTCGGCGCAATTCATAATGGCAAGCGGTAAGTGTAGGCTATTTAACCTCCAACCTTGTTCTTTGAAAGAGAACCATCTGCGAAGGCTTACGATTTATATTTATTTACATTTCCTTTCAGAAATAGAAACGAGTTTACTGTTAATCGTGTTAGATGTGAACCCAATGCAAAGAATCGTGAAACAAGAAACAAGGATATTGACCCAATGTTTAGATTCCACTATAGTGTTTGCAAATGCCCACTTAATGCAGTCATCTAATAATCAGTTAGCAGTGATAGCATGCCACAGCCACGGAGCAACATTTTTGTATCCTTGCGAGAAACCATCAGAGATCAGACAAATCGATGGACAGTATGAAAAGTTCACTATGGTAGAACGTACTGTAAGACATCAACTACAACAAGTTATCAATGAAATCTCTATGGATAAACCATTAAATGGAGAAAGTCTGATATCTGGGGCATTGACCATGGCACTGTGCTATGTTGCAAGATTGGAAAGAGAAAAGGTTGCGGTTGAAAAATTGTATTCCAGAATTCTTATTATCACTGCAAGCAATGACTCTGCAATGCAGTATATGAATTACATGAACATATTCTTCACTGCTCAGAAAATGGTTTATTATAATTTTGCTCATTCATACTTTATAAGAGGGAATGTAAACTAACTGCATCTCTCTGAAATTTTTAGGGAATAATATTGGATGTCTGCAGTTTAGATCAAGAGTTGACCTTACTTCAGCAAGGCTGTGATATAACTGGTGGAAATTATTTAAAAGTTCCACAATTAAGTGGACTGCTACAATATTTATTAGTAAGAGAAATATTTTTTTCATATTAATAAAACATATTAATATGTAAACATTTATTTGTTTTAGTGGATATTTCTGCCAGATCCGAATATTAGGTCGAAATTAGTATTACCGCCACCTGTGAAGGTGGATTATCGCGCCGCGTGTTTTTGCCATCAAGAACTTATAGACATCGGCTATGTATGCTCCATATGCTTGTCAAGTAAGAAAAAAAATCCAATGTTGTCTTAATATTACCATGCAAATACATATGGTATAATGATGATAATTTCTGTTTCACAGTATTTTGCAAATTCAGTCCAATATGTACTACTTGTCAGTAAGTTCCTTAATAGCATTATCTAATTACAGTAATACTATAGAAGTGCTGAAAACTGATTCATATTTTTTGTTTGTGATTTTTTTATAGCACAGTATTCAAAATGCCGGGACCTATGCCTATGAAAATGAAAAAAAAGAAGAAAAATGTAGATATAGTTCATTAATTGTATTTAGTATGGTGTATTTTATTAATAAGAACTTTTTAATTAAATACAAATATTTTCGCACTATATCCGTGATACATCGGTGGTAATAGTTACTTAAACAAACTATACAAACGGAAATACTCTGCTAAAATACAGGATAACTCCCTATGTCATAGTCCTTTATAGTAATAGATTCTGTCTACATCTTCTTTGTTAGTTCTTTTAAATTCTTCGTAGTCCTTTGGGCATAACTTCAACCATTCTGTCCTCATGGAGCTTAACGTTTGAAACATATTTTTAAATTTTTATATTCGTTAGCATTCCACGAATATCACGTTACTTACTTATATCGAGGAAACAATGCAAGGGATGAAGGAATTGAAATCAAGCAGCTACGGAAATAAATTACAGTCAGCGACAAATCGTTTGAATCGAAAAATGTCGAAGCTAAAGATGCAAATTACCCAACTGCGCACAAGACAATTTTGATAGGGTATCGAATCCACGGCCTACGTTGATAGAAACAATACTGCTTAATTGTTTGCGTTATGACTGGAATAAAGAGCAAACATGGGAGGGACATGCCTATTCTGGTGATAATACATTCGGAAATGCCAATCACTGCTGCTACCCTAGACTGCATGAAAGGCTTTTCTGCACCTTCGATAAATACCGGAACGCCCGACTTTATTTCTTTCTGACGCATTAGTGGCATATTTACGATATGACCTGCAGTAACTGCGAAAAATGGTACGCATCTCTAATAGAAAAAATAATCAAAAAGGAACATGTTACAACGAAGATCATGATATGAGAATGGAATATTAAGGAACTAACTGAAATGACAGATTCTCTCCGATGCAGCGTTCTTCTACAACAAATGATAGGTTCTCTCCGATGCAGTATTCTTCTACAACCAATAGCCACTGCAGAACTTGCTATTATTGCACATAAGAAAGCAGTTTTAATTGAGCTTGAATCGTGTTTATCAACTCCTTCCATCGCATTTCTGTTCGAGTAATTTACGATAGCATTTTGTGTCTGGTTTACTATCTGACACAATACGGTAGCAACGGTACTTCTAACAATTACACACAATGTATGATACAGATTTTAATTAATCGGATTGTAGAAAGACATTTCGAACAATTTACTTGTAATATGTTAGCATCGCCGTTGTAATTATAATTGAAGAAGGTAATTGAAAGGACATTCTGCCAATAACGTGCATTAATTCACCGTTATCCGGATGGAACGCACTATCTCTAAGCTGTTTTGCATGAATAACGTCCTTCATTGTAGTATCCGGGGGTACTTTTCCATCTCTAAATGTATGTTAAATCCAATTGAAATTGAAGGATTTATATCATTTAAGATCTATTTCAAATACCTATAATCATCACAGAATTGTTTCGCCTTCCATAATTCTTTTTCGGGCACGAATACTGTACGGCTATCGCTAATGAAAGCAGCGTGTTTCCACCTACCAATGTAGGTAGATTGATCCCATAATGGTTGATCAATATCAATCTTGTCGTTGAGATCCATTATCCAGTAAATTCAAGGCGAAGAAAATGAATTAATCTGCATCTGATGATTCGTTTGCAGCGTCATTAATATTGGCAAATTTACGACCATAAATTTAATTCATAGTTGAGTTAATTTTAACTCCAAATTAATGTCACTTGGAATAAATAACCGTGAACGTGAGATTAATGAAATTTCCGTTTTTAAATGAGAAATGAAGTTGACTGCCGGTTACCGCGATCATATATTGTTTATAATTTTGTTATGCAAGATCTATGAAAATTTGTCTTAACAAATACTCTAAGCGTCAGACATCGCGCTCTATTACTTAAGTAACCATAATTATGGTATGTATTATTTTTCGAACGTATGGCAATCTTTATTTTCGCGATTATTTCATAATGAATATTTTACGTAGGCTAAAGCCACAACCTGTAAGGAAGCTATTCAACGATGGGAGGAGAAAACTGGTTTAACTGCCAGTGAACAGAAAGAAATTATTTTGTCCTTTCAGTGGCCTCCAATTGAAAAAATGGATAATAATTTAGCTTCACTGGCTGCTGTAGAGTCAGTTACAGTTATTGTGAAGTTACTTTTTTTACGCGTAAATAAAAACTTCCTTCATTTTTAGAAAACTATCGCTTTCGACAAATATGATAGAGAGAATCACTGGTATCAACTCTTTGAAAAATTTGAGGATTCTGTCTGTGGGGCGAAACTATATCAAAACATTTTCTGGATTAGAAGCAGTCGGTGAACATTTAGAAGAACTATGGATATCTTACAATTTGATCGAGAAGATTAAAGGTGTTAACGTTTTGAAAGCACTGAAGGTGCTTTATATGTCTAACAATTTGGTAAAAGACTGGGCGGAGTTTAATCGATTGCAAGAAATACCAAATCTCGAAGATTTATTGTTCATCAACAATCCGATTTGCGAAAATATAGACGTGGAATCGTGGCGGAGTCAAGTCATCAGGAGACTTCCGAAATTAAAAAAGCTCGACGCTATACCGATCGTGTGAATATTTTCACTATATGAAATACAAACTTCAAAATTTAAGAATAAACAAAGTAAAGGGGAGAGTAATAGAAATCCAAATTTTAATAAAAAATTTTGCAACAAGATTGCAAAATTTGTATTTACAACACAGTGTACATTTATAATACATTCTCCGCGTACAAATATAATACATTGTATTGACATTGTTGATAAGGATGTATCTATGGATGAATGATTAGTAGTTTTCAACTTTCATATCATTTAATCCAAGTTCTTCGTTTTGTTCAAAAGTCCTTTTATATTTGGTGATCTTTAGACCACTATCAAGCCCATCATCTGAGAGACTCTGTATATAGCTGTTGCCTGCTGGATCATCTAATATCAAAGTTATTTTTAGATTTCCTTCCAATACCTTGTTCAGATTAGATATTAAAGTATCCATTTTGTTAACAGTTTCAGGTAATGTACTGTCGCCAGTAAAAGCTGTTGATGTTGACAATTGATCTTTAATTGCCATTAAAATGCCTTCTATGGTAGTAAATCTTCCACCTAAAGTAGCAGGGCCAACTTCTAGTTCCAGTTCAGGTACTTGCATATGACAAGTCTCAGATTTCAATAGATCGCGGCTAAAATCCTCTTTTCCTACGACGGTTACTTCTATTTTAACTCCTTCCGGTTCGATGCCTCCGCCGCTTTTAACTTCGTTTGTTTTGTGGCCACAAGATTCACAAACTGTTGCCATAATTACCACTTCCTTAAAGTAAGGAATATCTATGCATTCATTTAAGGATGAATAACATTTAACTATTACACTTAATAAATATTTTAGATTGTACAAAAAAGGATACTGGTCATCTTCATGTTAGTTTCACATGGACAGTTACATTCTGGACAATTTGTTTGGAAAGAAAGAACTTCGCTTTCAATTTCCTCCAATGGAAATTCTCCTTCCTCTATAGGTTTCAATAATACATCATTTGAATTTTCAGTATAAATCCCTAAAATATGATCTTGCTCTGTTGTTCTCTTAAATCTTGTTACAATGCATCCCTCATCTTTCAGTGGTATACTTGGATTTTCTATATGAAATTCTCCTGATATGTCTTCAAATATTATAGTGAAAGGTTCATCCAAAGATTTAAGCTTCCTCATTTTCTCAAGAAATTGATCAATTTGAGCAGCAGAGCTTGGATATTTTTCTCTTCTTTCTGGTTGATCTTGCTCTAATCCATTGATGGCTCTTTCTATTATACCTTCAATTGTTGTAATCTCCCCTTTTTGTGATCTAGAGGGAATTTCGAAGTCCAAAGATGGAATTTGTACTCTGGTGTAATCAGATTTAATGACCTGTCGATTCAAATCTCTGGGTGTTTTAACTTGCAGTGTTATTCTAATTCCTTTGTCTGCAATTTTTCCACTGTTCTGTATCTCATTATTTTGGTAGCCACAATGCTCGCAATCAAAGGACATTACCACAACATCTTTGTAGTGTGGAATTTTTGTTAGGAGTAATCTGGTGGTGCCCTGTGTTTACAAAATAATACGTCATGAAATATCATAAATAAGTTTCTTTAAATTTACGATACGTTACATTTTTTCCACAATTCATGCAAAGACTCTCTATTAGAGTCGTTTCTGGTTCCGGATCATCAGCTGTTAGATTACGAAATATTGGTTTCGTTGTTTCTTCCGGTTGTTTTTGACCCTCTGCCATTTTTAGGTTAACTTGACCTTATACACCTAATTAATAATAGAAACCTATTTTGAATTAGATCCAATTCAATTATATCGACTTGTTCTTATCTATACTTTGTTTTCATATATAAGAACTTATACCTGCTGAGTATATTTGTAAGCAAAAATTCACATCGTGAATTTTGAAAACAACAAAAATATTTTAGGTGACATGGATTTGTGCCACGTGAGGGGAACAAAACTTTTCTATTAATTCAGTGAATACGCTTTTATTAAATACATATCACAGGATTTTGAAAATGAATTCTGATGCTTCTAACCAATCGAAGTGGTTTGAAAAAAAATGATTCATAAAACAGTAGAGAAAAGGAACAGGGACAGGAAAAGGAACATTTTGTACAGAGCTTTCATGATGATAAAAGTTGAAAGCTGTCTTTAAATATAAGGATTTATTTAAAAATTTTTTAAATTTTTGTATCGGTGGACAACTTTGGACAACTTGTGACAATCGTCCATTTTCAGCAGCCCTCTATTAGCAAGTGCAAGAAACGTCGCCAACTTTGGCATTTATAAACATATTAGCGCCAACTTCGCGCACATTATTTTGAACGTCTGCAAACATTAAAATTAAATATCGTGTTTGTCGCTGAGAATAACAATCATATATTTCACCAGGCATGGCAGTTTAAATTAAACTTCATGCGAGTGTTCCCATCGACAATCGCGTAAGTGTCAGTGATGTTAGTACTCGTGTTATCGTAGAACATAGCGAAGGATCATCATGGATCGTCTTATCTCGAAATGCTAATAACTGACATTTGCAATATTTCGTTCGCGCATTGTGTCGTGGAGATTATTTGAATATTTGAAAGCAGAGACAAAACTAACCACGCGAAAATAGTTTTCGAAGACGTTCGAAGACTAGGGAAAAAGTGGAAGCAGAAAAATTGACGGCGAGTGGCGCGAATCGCCGGCTGAAAGGTTCAATCGCCGAGCCATGGCCAATGGCCGCCGCGAATGTGTGTCTCGTGTCGGCTCCTCGGTGGCCGTTGTGATCGATGAATTACTACGTGTTTGCGAAGTGTGCTAACTCGCTCGATCAGCTCGATCACGCGTAGTTGTTACTCGCGACCGACAGAACAATATGTCGAGCCGGCAGTCGAAAAAAGAAAAGGTTCGTTCATCGTGTTGCATGTTGTTCGCGGGCTCCTGTCTGATCGGGATCATGTACCTTTCCTCGTGCAATCAGTACAAACGGAGAGTACGTTTACACGATTTTTAATTTCGATTCGATATCGTCTATGTTATAACTTGTAGTTAAACAAGTACGCATCGTTTGCATGTTCAAGCGTATCAAAATTGAAATAGCTCAACAACCTCTGACTGAAGTCAGCCAGGAATGTCAGGATTTCCCGTGGTACCAATACAAAACGACGAAAACTTGAGTGCTTATAGTTAGAATTAATTTGATTTAAAGATTATTATGAATTTAATTGCCTAGTAGAAATCGTATGATACAGTAATAGTCGATTAAATAATAACGATAAATGAGATAATCAACTTTGTAGAGATGGGCGGTTGAGACGTTTAAATGTTGCGGTTGGCATGTATCAACCTTTGACCATCAACATCGTTATGATCCGTTTACACATCTTCTAACGTCGATGTGGTAGCTTCGTACCACTGTCATTAAAACTGTACTTGAGGCTTAAAATCGACGTTACAACTTTCAGCGTAAAGCAACGTTTTTATAGCTTCTAACGTTAGTAGTTATAACATCGACGCTGTTAACTAAGGTATAATTCAGGAATTCAACTCGTGTAAACGTAGTCACGTATGTGAAAAAACGGTATTCCTTCGTAATGAGGAGAGATCGTGGACACGCGCGCGCTTCAAAACAGGAGCGGATCTACTATGAAACTAACCAGGGTTCAGTTTTGGGCCCCCCACGAAGAAGGCCCCCAAGAGCTTTGACTTCTACCTATTTGATTTCTTAATTCAACATAGAAGCATCATTCAGAAGCATAGAAGAAAAATTTGCTGATTTTGAAAATGATCGTGGTTCTTATAGATAACTTCGTAATTCTTTTTTAATTTCATTGAAAATATGTAGCATCTAAAACATACAGTGGGTGTAGAAAGTATTCGTACACAGATCAATTTCTAAAAAAACTGTGTAAAATTGTAATTTATTAACTTATTTCTTATAAACAAGGACATTCTACATATTCTCGGAAATGTCTAAAATAGATAGATTACAAAAAAAAATAGCTATTTATGTAAGTTGCGAAATTAACGAGAAAAGAACAATTAATCGATAGAAATGTTGAAGCAATAAATATTCGCATAATTGTTTAAAAGTACTTTAATGTGTTTACGTTACAAACTCTACTGTAAATGGTTCATCACAAGAATCGTACAAATACTTATTGCTTCTATACTTTTACTCACTTTTTGCATTTTTTTTGTTAATTTCACAAATTTTATTAACTAGTAAATGTTTGGACTATATCTATCTTAGAGACTTGTAATGAATATGTAAAATATCATTGATTATAAAAAAGAAAGTTAAGAAACTTAGATTTCACACAAAAGTTTTTTGGGAAATTGATCGGTGTACGAATACATTCTACACCCAGTGTAAATATGTTTTCATAGTAATAATAGTTGTCATTGATGAAACATTCCAGAGAAAGAAAGGGCCCCTCGAAGTGATTAGGTGAGGCTGCTGTTAGTCTAGATCCGCCACTGTTGAGAGAAGGAAAGAAAGAGGGAGGGATAAAGAGGGAGACGATGACAGGAATAGTAGGAGAGAAAGGGAAGAAGGGAGAGTAAAGAGAGTTCGGGGAAACAACCCCGGTAGCGGAGACACCGAAGGGTGTAGCGTGATTTCCGATTTCTCGATATCCGTTTCGCTAAGCACGTTTTTCACGGCCGAACATTTCGAAGGACCTCACATCATGGTACATCCAAATCCACTGATTCTCGTTTTCGTTTTGTGACATCGCGCGTAGTGGCGAGTTTCGTCGAGCAGAGCCCGCGTCTCGAACGTGAATTCTCTCGTGTGCTGTCGTGGCATCGTGGTTTCGTGCTAGAGGTGCAATTTACTCGTTTTGTTTCCAGGATGCTACGAAGATTGGCAAGGACAAGGGAAAGAACGGCAAGGATGGCGAGACAGGTGACGAGGTGAGGTTATATCGTCCGTTCTCGCGTTCCTCTCGAACGACGTGACTCGATTCGGTTACTGATCCTCGAAAACTCCTGTCATTCGTTCATTCTTTCTGTATCGTTTTTCAGTTTCCATCATTTCGCGTCGTAACGTTTCGCATCTTCGACGATCGAAAATTTCCTTCTGTCGTTACATACTGTCGGGCAGTGTTGCCAACCTCGCTCGATGAACGTTTAGTAAATACTCAAAAAAGGAGATTGAAGGAGGATCAGTAAAAAATTCAAACCAAAATTAACATGCTCGCGAGGTAAACCGAAATGATACTACTTTGTACCCTAAGAAGTCTATAGAAGCTACAAATCTTCTCACTTTATGTGTTATATCTAACTACAGAATTAGTTGATGTAACCAGTTTGTTTACAAAAGTGAAGTTTACACTGCTAAACAAAGTACTTGTCAACCCGAAGCCCTTTCTATAACTGGTTTCCCACTTGATGCTGTATCAATGTCAATATTACACGATCTGCAACATTTAAACATGTACCGCTTGTTAACCTGCCTTTAAAAGATTCATATAGTTTACAGTCTGTGAATATTTCATCTTTTTCCTCGTCCTGTTTATACCATGGTATAACAACTGTCTAACTGGACACAGTGATTATTAAAATACTACTGAAAAATTACATGGATGACGATACAGAATTAAGCCATGCAGGGGAAGTCCCGAATTGTATCGTACGATATCTGTGTAACAGATACCTGCATGTATGAAAAATGAGGAGAGGATTTTGTAACAAAATAATTAGATGAAAGTGAGGAAAGAAAAGGAAAGCTTGGACTTTACTTTATAAAAGAGAGAATTTTGAAAGTTATTAAATGCTGAAAGTAGAACAGTAGAATGTAATAAATCATCAGATCTCCTTTAAAGTCAGTAGACGTGGTAACACTGCTGTCAGAACACTTTATTCGTGATTTGTTTTTCTTCACGATCATACAGTGTATTTTGAAAGTACGTATATGTATGTATATGTATAGATTTCTGTAATAAAATCGTGGCGCTCGAGCGTTTGAATTTATTGATAAATAGAAAACGATGTAAAGCGAAGGGATACGAGGTGTTGAAGTATAACCGATACCATTTTCAGACATTTGTTTTCTCGATATTCTTTTTCACGACTGTTCAACGCTTTACATTACTCTTGTTTGAAGTAATTGACCATTATTAAAGTCGATAGAGATCTTATGTTTCCTATAGCACGCTTCGTGATTGTAATTAACGGGTAATCCATGCGGAATTGAGTCCCGTGCGCGATATGAATGGAACGAACTCGAAGTATGGAATCACCGCGCAATTATACAGGGTGTCTGTAAGATAAATTTTGCATGAAACGATTGCTGATTAGGGGACGAACAAAGATCAGCAACATTTTTATCCGAATAATAGCTAACGTACATAGTTGATATTTCATTCCACTGTTTGAATGTTTATCAAGTAACGGATAAACGTTTGTTTATCTTTTATTGGATACATAGATTTTTTTACCTAGATAAGAACGATACGAGAAACGCGAAGGCGCTCCTTCGCAATTTTTTAAACGTTGAATCTATTAATATCGAAGAAAAATACTGAATTAGTAATCTTTCCTTTTACAGAATGTTACGAAAGCAACAAATTCAATGGGCTCGTTTGAAGTCAGCTTAAAACAATTCATAATTTTCACCTTTTCAATCTCTTTTAACTCGACTGACTGACGACACAAGTGGTCATTTGTTTTCATAAGTTTACATCGATACGATGGGTAGAGACGAGCGACTTTTGTAATTGAATAATCGATTAATTTGTAATTGGTTTTTCTTTATTAAGAGACAGTTGAATTAACGAGCTAGAGATGAAAGGGACCTTGAGATCCCCTACCATTAAAAAATTGTTTCATGCCGCGCGTATTTAGAGACATCCTGTATATGTAATAATGATATTAATAGATCGTTAAAATTAATGTGTTTGCGTTGGATGATGAATTAATTTCGATTCGCGTGATACATATCACTTTACGTATTCAATGTCTCTCCCAAAATACAAACTTTTATCATGATCTGTACCAATATATTCATGACTTTGACTCGAGTATTTAATACATTTTTAAAAAAATAATGTTTACATACTAAGATAAATTTGTTGTTCTCCCAAAGTACTGTTCGATTTGTTACGGTAGTATTAAGTGAAAAGACGATATCTTATCAATCGCAATTTGTTTATATTGTGTTTAGTTATTTAAAAACGATTTATGAATCGATAAATACTTTCAGCAGAGAATTGCATAACCGCTTACTATCCGAGGCACGCAAAGTATACATAGAGGGTGTCCCAAAAGTGCTGGAGGCCCTTGAAAGGGGTTTGGGGGATAATTGAAACAACTTTTTCCTTAGTGAAAATGTTGTCCGACGCTTCGTTAAGAAGATATCAATAGAAAACTCCGGACCAATCAGAGCGCGAGTATGCTAGTGTACTACTCGCAGTAGCTTCGGGGTTTTTCGTTAATATCTCCTTAAAAAAGCCTCGAATAACATTTTCGCTAAGAAACGAATTCTTTCAAATCACCCCTCGAAACACCCCTTTCAAGGACCTCCAACATTTTTTAGACACCCTGTATATGTATATTCGTAGCACCACTGTATGTTATCGAGTTTTATGTATTTTATTACATTTTACCGAATTCAGTTATTTTGTCGTTGGGTAAGAGTAATGCAGAAAAAGTAGAAGTTTACATAGTACAAAATGTATATATGCATGTATTTACAAGAATATTCAAGCAATCACAAAAATATCTTGTAAAAATATCCACCGATCGATGATATAGTTAAAAAAAAAAAAAAAAAATTAGAATGAAAGTCACGTGCAATTAACATAAAATTCATCTGTTACAAACAACAGAGAGTTCGACTTCCTCAAGGGCTACACTGACGGTTAGGTTCCTCGAGAAGAAGTTTTGTGATTGGTGTTGAAGTCGTTCTTGCGCATCTGTATCGCTGTTTTCATTTGACGAAAATGTGGGTATTTTTTAGTGTGCCAGAATGAAGTAGACCCGAAAGACTAATGTAAAAAGTATTACTTTCTTCCTGTGCATTTTTGCGAAACATATCTTCAAGTAACTATCATCTTTTTTGGCCACTAGAAGATGCTCTGAAAGGACATCACCTCAGATGAAGGGTCAAGATCAACGGTGCATAAATGGCTTCAAGATCAGCTACAAAACTTCTCTCGAGGAAACCGGGCATTAATGCATCGTTGGAAGAGTTGTGTCGAATGTAATAAAGATTACACATAGATTGGCCTACATATTTGCTTTTAAAAAATTAAGTTTTATTTCTATTTTTTTTTTTTTTTTTTTTTTTTTTCTAAACATTTCTCAATTCTGTGTGAGTTAGTAATCTTTCCCGTGTGGTGTGGATATAATATTCGTATAAAAACTTGCGATATATTCGAAGGAAAACCGACGATGTTCGTTTCTGTACTGATCATAAAGAATATGAACTATCGAGGCGAGTAAAAAGTTGCAGCAGTGTGTTTTGGTAGTTGGAACAGGATTCTCTTCTCTATCGTTTCATGTATGCCGTTTTCATGCATGTGTCAGGGATTTTACTGGACATGTTAAGTTTGATCGATATCGTATCTCTTTGACTCTAAAAAGTTTCCAAAAAGACATTTCACGTGCTCGAATTCTCTGTATTATAGAATCCGTCTTTGTTGTTTCGTAGACCAACAAGGTAGCAGGAGGACCACCCACGACCAATGCACCCCCACCGCCAACGTTGATCAACAAGATCAAATATCAGCCTGGCGGTCCTGTGATAAAAAAGGACAAGCGGCAAAGTAGTTCAAGATTCAACATTTCGAAAAATCGAGAGCTTCAAAAGTTGCCGCTTTTGTCCGGTAAGTCGTTGAAATATGTTTTTAAAAGATCCAAAAAGCGTGGAGGAATTCTTTTTATCAGTCTTATTAATTTTCTATTACTTAGTAACAATTATAGAACTAGCGAGTTGCCAACTGCGTTATACCTAAAAATACAGTGTACGTACTATCCATAGTTAAAAATATTGAAGTGACTAAGGGAAAAGAGTTTTTCCAATAGATTAACGAGAAAGAATGTACTACTGGGGTGCGTAATTTAATTAAAACGTGGCAATGACTTTAATCGATTCCAGAAGTTCATTTATATTCCGATCGATAATTGTGTAATTTTATTCGGAAGTGTTACCATCCATAAACTTTACTTTCCTCGGCAGAGATTGTCGCGTAACGATTGATTATTATAACAGTTTACCAAAGTAGGAGCAATAAACCTCGTCATTATCCTCGCCAGGAATAAACCACAATATACTTAGTGAGTGTAGCGAGGGTAGATCCGAGTGGTTACCTTACCTACCGCTGCTTTATATGAGCGAGAATGTAATGCAATCTGTGGTTTCGATAATTATTCTTAAGAAATCTTTGGAACAGAATTACTTTACATAAAATAAATGTTTAATTCATTCGAAAAGGATATTTTTCCTTGTCGAAATATCAATTTCAAAGTACTTGCACAAACTTGTCTTCCACGCGAGGGTAATTAGGTTTTATTTTTATTACTTTTTCAATATATCTACCTACCTCTGCTTTATATAAGCGAGAATGTAATGTAATCTGTTGTTTCGATAATTATTCTTAAGAAATCTTTGGAACAGAATTACTTTACATAAAATAAATGTTAAATTCATTCGGAAAGGATATTTTTCTTAATCGTAATATCAGTTTCGAAGTACTTGCATAAACTTGTCTTCCACGCGAGGGTAATTAGGTTTAATTTTTATTATTTTTTCAATATATCGGCTAATATGTAATACATTTCATTTACGAGTATATTTCAATGTATCGATCTGATCTATATATATTTCGATCCATAGGGGGTTTGCATCGATTAGCAAAGTATTAAGATTTTGGGGAAAATGCCCCCGGAGGGCAGCACTCGAACGATCTAAATATCGATAGAAAATCGTCGATCACGTAATCCTCGGATGATACATGTTAATGCATATAAAAATACAAATTCTATTTTATTAATATTTGTACGAATCTGTATGTTTGCGCGTAAATCGGAAAATCTGTGTACTTATTTATTCGTGGGTTTGCGTATACGCGTGTTTGCATGTTTATTTTCACGAGCGAAACGTAAAAGACAAAAACTCATTCATTAATACCGTATGGTAAAGTGACTCGGTCGGTGTAATTAAACAGAGGCGAAATAATTAGTTACTTTTGCGTTGTCGATTCCGGTCACTCAGGATTGCGAAAGTAGCTACGTCAGAGCGTATCGATTGTAAGGCGCGGTGGTTCACGCGTGCGCTCCGTTGTCGTTCGGGATTCCTAGTTTCCCAACGTAAACAGTTCTTCATCGTTCAAACGGCCTTTGATATCGGCGGCATTTTCCCAATTTGAATCGCACTCGCTTCACCGGTATCTCGATACAGTCGAGGGTGGATTGTCCGTCGACGAATACGCGTGTAAACAGTCGCGGCGACGCGTATCGTCGTAGCAAACAGAGATATGCGTAGTTTTTGCACGAAAGAACGGTCAGTTCCTTCGAAGCAACAGATTGTTACGTGAATAAGGAAGCCGGTGCGTAGACAGGGGTTGCCGCACGCGCTTCAATCCACCGTATGCGGTACGCGATAACTGACGGTGTTTCGGTGATAGCAAAGGAAACGTAAAACGCGGCTGGAAAGCTGCTGGAAAGCGCGATGGTTCACGTGGATGGATATCCATTTGTATCCGGTTGCCTGCCGAAAAGTCCGAGCTTCCATCAGGGTCTCGCCTTGGCCTTTCGCCTTTCGCGAGAGTCGAACAAACCCTACTTGACCAACTTCACCTCGCATTATCAACCGCTACGACCCCTATTAATCGGTAAAGAAACTTCGCGAGTTCCTTTCGCGTTATGTATCGTATGCGAGTACTTTCCTAAATCTGTGTGAATATTCACGATAAAAGGGGTGGGAGGGAGAAATCGGGAGGGGGTGGGTTGAGGGTTTGTCGAGTGTGTCGAGTGTGTCGGTGGAAAATGTGTGCGAGAGAGAGTCTGTGATAACGAAGCGAGGCGCGAGGGAAAGATGAAAAATCCATGCGAGCGTTCGTCATCGAAAAAGCTCATGGAAGAGTCCAAGAGGACCACAAAGTGTCCACGGGAAAATCGAGAGACTGAGAAACGGAGTATCGCGCGGAGGAAGGATACGGGGAAGAGGAAGAGTTCATGAGAGTGTTTAAAAGAATACGGGATAGGATCCATGAGGGGAACAAAAGTGTGAAAGAAGGTGGGAGTTCAAAAGACCAGGGACAACAGTCTGCGATAGAGTGCGAGAGGGGGAGTATCCGTAAGAGAAAGTCAAAGGGAGCAAGATTACGTTGATGGCAGGGGGCAGGGGGCGAGAATCTACAGGGTGTCCCAGCCTTAGCGATACAGCGCTCTTAACTCCAAAACTATCGGGCGAATGCAAAATTTCAAATATGGAAAATGCATGGTAAAGTGGGGCTCATGTTTCAGCGAGAAGGAATTTCTGGTAACTTTGTTATTTAACCCCTTCCCGTACTTCAGCGAGTCAGACTCGTGATGAAGATTTTGACCAAAGAGAAGACCAAAGAGAAGATTTTCAAACACGAGTATCGCGAGTCAGACTCGCGACGAGATACATGGGTATTGCGATTGTTTACATGTTTACAAGCATCAGTCTGGTCCGTTTGGCGCGCCTCGGTGCCTACCGCTTGGGTCCGAGTTTCGACGAGTTAAATGGCACGAGAAGGGGTTAACGAGATATGATGGTCAAGTTTCGTTTTTCTTATACCATACGATGGTACTTTTCAAGACGAATTCATTAAGCTTTAATGTGTTTACTCGATTTTTATTATTGGGTTGTCCAGAAAGTCCATGTCGATTTTTGGTAGGTAGTACAGGTCTGAATATATCGAAATGGTTGAAAACAAATAACATGTATACATCCCTTAAAAGGTGGAAAGGTTGTGGAACAAAATCCCACCTATGTAATTCAATAAATACATGTATATATGTTATACAGGGTTATCCAAAATAGACTATAGGAAGCTTTTTTTTTTTTAAAAAAATAAAATAGATACTCTTTTGAATTCTATTATTTTTTTTATTTAATTGTCAGGTATCATCTATGATAATTATTTGTGAAAAACGATATCAGTCAAATGACCACCACGACCACGTTTACAGACATCGATTCGAAAATCAACATTTTCGATAACATTTTGGCATATTTGCTCGTTTAATCACCAATTTCATTTCTAATGTTGTTTTTCAGGTCATGAATTGTTGCTGGTTTGCTGGCATAAACTTTACTTTCCAAATAACCCCAAAGAAAAAAATCCAATGGGGTGAAATCACACGATCGAGGTGGCCAATTCACATCACCGTTCCTTGAAATTAATCGACCATTGAATTTCGATCGCAATAAACTGATGTTTTCACGCGTTGTGTGTGGCGTAGCTCCGTCTTGTTGAAAATAAACATTGCTTACGTCGATTCCATTTAATTTCACCCATAAATAATCAATAATCATTTCATTATAACGTGCACCATTCACTGCAACTGCATCTTCATTCTCGTTTTCGAAAAAGAATGGACCGATTACGCCTTTCGACCAAAATCCACACCAAACAGTAACTTTTTTTTGGATGAAGTGATTTTTCTTTAATGGCTCTTGGATTTTCATCTCCCCATATGCGACAATTTTGCTTACTGACGTGTCCATCCAATGTGAAGTGAGCTTCATTTCCGGACAACCTAATACATTAAAGCTTAATGAATTCGTCTTGAAAAGTACTGTCGCATGGTATAAATAGAAATATACTATAGTTCCATTTGAAAAACGAAACTTGACCATCATATCTCGTTAAATAACAAAGTTAACAAGAATTCCTTTTCACTGAAACATGAGCCCCACTTTACCATGCAATTTCCATATTTGAAATTTTGCATTCGCCCGATAGTTTTGGAGTTAAGAGCGCTGTATCACTAAGGCTGGGACACCCTGTATGTCCATGTGGGAGTCCATGGAAGAGAACGAGCGCGCGCATGTATGAATGATGTGCATGCTTGCAGTTGTGTTACATATGATCTTTATGCAAGCGTCATACGTGTGTGTTCGCGCTTTTGTGTTGAGCGAAATGCGCTTGCCTCGCGTGAATTAAAATATGCGTTTATGTATGTAAAATGGAACGCGTGTGCGCACGTTTATGAATGTTTTTGTACGACATGTGCCAACTCTACGACATACCTCCAGATCATACAAGTATTTCGTTTTTTTTTTTTTATCATTGTCATTTCAGAAGCGCAACAGGGGAACGAAAGGGAGGAACTTTTTATACAGAAGCTGCGGCAATGCTGTGTACTTTTCGATTTTGAGTCTGATCCACTGTCGGACTTAAAATGGAAGGAAGTGAAGCGCACCGCACTACACGAGATGGTTGAGTACGTTACCAAGAACAAAAACGTTATAACCGAAGCGATATACCCTGAAGCTGTGAATATGGTAAGCGTGAGAAAATTACCATTCCCGAGTCCTGATCCTTTTAATCCTTTTTATTAAATTCTAATTTCCACGTGAAACTTGCACAGTTTGCAGTGAATCTATTTCGTACGCTTCCACCGTCATCGAATCCAAACGGCGCCGAGTTCGACCCGGAAGAGGACGAGCCAACCTTGGAAGCTGCCTGGCCTCACTTGCAATTGGTTTACGAATTCTTTCTTCGGCTGTTGGAGTCCCCGGATCTTCAACCGATAGTCGCGAGACATTACTTAGACCAGAAGTTCGTGTTGCAGCTTCTGGAACTGTTCGATTCCGAGGATCCGCGCGAAAGGGATTTCCTCAAGACAACGCTTCATAGGATTTATGGAAAGTTTTTAGGGCTTAGAGCGTACATCAGGAAACAAATAAACAACATTTTTTATCGATTTATATACGAGACAGAGCACCATAACGGCATCGCTGAACTCCTGGAGATTTTGGGAAGGTAGCTTTCGTTCGTTCATCGCAAATAACAGAGAAAACCGCTGTCCGGTTACACGTTCATTGATTTCCCTGTATGATTTCCAGTATAATCAACGGATTCGCTTTACCACTGAAGGAGGAACACAAAATATTTCTATTAAAGGTGCTTTCACCTTTGCATAAAGCCAAATCGTTGTCCGTCTATCATCCGCAGTTAGCGTACTGCGTCGTGCAATTTCTAGAAAAAGATCCGTCGCTGACTGAACCGGTTCTTAGAAGTTTATTGAAATTCTGGCCAAAAACACATTCCCCGAAAGAAGTGATGTTCTTAAACGAGCTCGAAGAAATTCTGGACGTGATCGAGCCCGCCGAGTTTCAGAAAGTTATGGACCCTCTGTTTAGGCAATTAGCGAAATGCGTTTCATCGCCACATTTTCAGGTATCGTTAGCGTATTTTTTTACGAAAACATTCGTTGTTATTTAAAATAACTAACACTTAACCTTACAAAACCTTCCGTTTCAGGTGGCTGAACGAGCTCTCTATTACTGGAACAACGAATACATAATGTCCCTGGTATCGGATAACTATTTAGTGATTCTGCCCATCGTGTATCCAGCGTTTTACGAGAATTCGCGAAATCATTGGAACAAGACTATTCACGGATTGATTTACAATGCGCTGAAGCTTTTCATGGAGATGAATCAAAAAGTATTCGACGAGTACACAAAACAGTATTTACAGGTACGTGATCGTTGTATGGAAGGTGTATGAAAGAGATGCGACAGGACGATACTCACCGTGTTGTTTCTAGAATTGTCAAAGAGAGAGGAAGCTCATGAAAGAGAGAGACGAAGCATGGATGCGAGTAGAAGCTTTAGCGATGAGACATCCGTGTTATGCCATGACCGTTCAGGGTTTAACGAATACTAATGCGACTAGCACGATATCGCAACAACAATTAAACAGCCCTCCACCCGACGAAGATGGTGATGTGGATCCAATGCCGCTCACTTTGGAGAAGATAGAGGCAAAGGCAAACGAGGTACGACATCACAGTTCTGTAGTTGGAATGAAATCAGTTGGCCACTCAAGGCTACTTCTCTCGCGGTAAATCATGTTAGGCATGACACACATTCTCGCGCCATGCCGGCGACATTATTATTGCACGGGATAGAGGGGTTTAAATGTACCGAGTTCTCTAGAAAGCATGCGAAGGAAGTAGGCTCTGTAGAGGTCTCGAGCGACCACCTGATTTTTTTTAAGCTGGTAATTATTATTACTATTATCGATAAAGTGTATTTTCACCGTTACAGGCAAAGAAGATGACCATCTCCAATAAAACCAAGCCACTTTTGCGAAGGAAAAGTGACTTACCTCAAGACACGCACACAATGCGGGCATTGTCCGACCATAAACGCGCGGATGAGTACCTCGTCACGCCACCGGACCCCAATAATTGCTAGTCTCTACCGCAATCTCTTCCCATGTATCCTCTCTTCTGCTGCAGTGATATCGGGAGTTAGGTTTTTTCGAGGAAAAACAAACACATCGACGATCTCGATCGAATTCGATCGATCGTCCAACAGAGTTTTATCATATAGAGGCCACAATGTCGTAATCCCCCTTATATCAAAACTGTCGAGATGTATGTAATATTGTCTCTTTTCTTTACGGTAACGAAAAAAAAAAAGAAATGAAAGAAAAGCTTTCTCTCGTCGCACCCAGCACTTCCGGAAAAAAAATAACTGATAACTCCCTATATACTCATCGAGTTGATTTACATAAGGTATCCGCGAGAATTATGCAAATATTACGTACTCGCTGTTAAAAACCATGAAACGTGAAAAAAACCTAGCGAATAAGGGTCCTAAGTATGTATGCATATACAGAGTATTTTATAAACTATAGATTTCTTGGGTATGAGGTGGTCTGTCGCTGAAAGTGAGACTATCTCCAAAAACACGCCTTCGTTTTTTAAATTCAATTTTTGAATTTCCGACGGTGCACTTCGCTGTGTTAGTTCGTAAAAGATAAAAGCGATTCTGCATATATGATCGATGGGTACAGTCTGAACTTTGATTCTATGCGAATCCGTTTGTAAGTAATAGTTTTAGGTTATGTGCTTTTAGCGATGGATTGTCCTCAGATTATAGAAATTTATACTTTATCGAACGCCCTATATACTCTAAATAAACAAATTTTATACGAATGCGAAAGAGGTCAGAAAAGAATGGACGCTTGCTTGATGTTGTAATAATAATAATAATAATAATAATAATAATAATAATAATAATATTAATAATAATAAAACAAAAGAATTTTAGTATGCAAGTTCGAGGCGCTACTCTTCTGAGCGAGTTTCCACTGATGTGCAACAAAAATATAAAACGACAGACATTAAGTAACAAGTGATATATAGTTGCTTCAAACGCTACCAGCTCATAATTTAGCGGCAAAAAGAGCAGAGAAAAAAAAATACAGAAAAATGGAAAAAAGACAGAAATGAAACGTCGTTTTTAGCGTTAGATGAACGTGATAGCACTATTTTAGAATATCGATTGTTATGAATCTGAATATTCCTGAACGTACTACTTTTATATCTGTCGTGCCTAGATGCCTGTGGAACGCATTCGCAAGAATCGCCTCTGCCAGAGGCCTATAATTAAGAATCGTTAACAAAAAAAAAAAATAAAATAAACAGAAAGCAACGAGTTATACGTGACGTTTTACCAAACGGTATAATTGACATCACGAATTTTTTCTGGGAACGCTTGCATGAACGTTGCGTCGTTGCCTCGTCAGTTTTGTGGTTAATCGAAGGAGAGAAAAAAAAAGAAACGTTATAATACTGTTTTGTCGCCGACAAAAAAAGGAAGAGGGGAAAAAAGCGAGAAAAAAAACGAAGAATAGTATACAAATGAAGTTTAAAAAAAAGAAAACGCGAATCTAAGTAAAAACTACCTTTAGTCTTTTGCGCTGCTGGCAGGCTGTTATGTTAATCATTGTGTAAGAGATGAACTTGTTGAGAATAGATAAACAGTTAGCACTTATTATTAAATAACAGAAATTAAAACCAAATGAGATAAATATAAAAAAAATTATTTACTATTTAATCGTCCCTTCGGAAGAAGAATGGCTGTTTTTGTTACGAAAAACCATTGATAATATGAGCATTCTTGACGATAATAATTTTTATTATCAAGCGCGGTATAATCTCGATGACGCTCGTTAATCGGAACAACTGTATTTAAACAATTTTCGTACGAAAGAGTATTAGTGTACATTAAGTAAGGAGCATTCGATAATAAAAATATTTTTAGTACAATTTTTCATTCGATTAAGTTACCATCGTCAATAAAAGAAAAATTTGTTGTTTTCATTGCTGTAACTTTAACTGGGTTAGACGTGGATCATCGGGATTACATTGCATCCTTCGATCGTTGAAGTCAATCGAAAATGAAACACATAGATAATAATGTTCGAGAGAAGCGTCTCTCTAATAATGCATGTTTCGAGGTATCGTCTCTTACTACGTCTATTCTTTCACACGTATCATGTAAGATATATTTTTGGAGTTTGTAAATTACACACGATAGTTGGGGGAACACTATTAAACTTCGCGCTTGAAACTTCTGAAGACGATTACGCTGGCTTACCGCTGGACGATTATTATCTTCAGATTTTCGTTTCTGCACCACGCCAGGCTTAAATTTTTAAACAACAAAATAGATAACGAGAATCTGCTTTAGTTCGGTGTATGTGATTTCCTTGTAACACGTATAGGTTACCTCGAGTGAATTTCATCATACGTTTTAATCGATGTTTTGTACGTTTTTTATGACGACAGGAGAAAATCAACCAACAACCGAGTACTTTTTAAGTGAAATCCAAACGATAAAACCAATGAATGCGTTTTATGTAAGGGGGAGCAAGGATTTTCATAGAAAAAAAGAATCACTTAGGCAGCTTGAATTTCGTAGAAGTATTTCTCTCTATCTATCTATCTCTATCTCTCTGTTCTTCCTTACGTAAAATTCACGAATCGTTCGAGAAATCCCAAGTTCATTAGAAGAGGGGAAGTGTTAATAAGAAATGTTGTTCACGTGTACAGTTAAACTCGCTTCAAACCTAGGAATATCAATTGCGAAGAACACATACAGAGCTGTATATCAACGTTCGATTACAGAAATTTTTTTAAATGATCGTCTGTCAGATCGATTCGATTCCATGCATGCATATATTCCATTACAATTTGTTGGAAGCATAATTTTATAATAAATAAATAATTATAACGAACGGAGAAAGTTTTAATCTTCATTCATATCCAAGTCATGTATGCGAAACATTTTAGGTTATTTTTTCGTTTTTATTGTCGGAAGACTTTAAAGCCCTCAGGGGCTGTAGCTGTGTTTTTGTAAGCTACGGTATGGGATTAGCAACCCCGAGGTACACGAGTTAAATGGGGGGCTAGTGGGGTACAGAGATGAGTTGTCAAGAGTCACGGAGAGAAGTTATGCAACATAGGAGGACCAGTGAAATGTATACAAAGTCTAGATGAGAAGTGTAAGGAAAATGAAGAGTCTATAAGTATTGTAATTTGTTTCCAGTTTACACGAATTATTTTTGGACATAATCTATCAATTGCCATCATCCTTTATCTTTACTGATATTGGAATCTCAACAAGCTTCAGAGAATTTATCGACAATTATCGATTTGGACTATGAACTTGGGCGTTTTCCCACCGATGGCGCCACTGATACCAAAAGTTGGTAATTACCACTGCATTAATTAATTATACCTAAAAATGATTAATTTGGAATGGATTAATGAATATATTGTAGAGTTATAATGCTAGGAATCGTATTAATTATGTAGTATTTATGAAAAGTAAGGAGTAACTGATCGAAAGGTATCGCTTACTAGGCAGATTAGTTCTATCTTCTTATCGCTAGATGGCGATACCAATTTGATCCATGAAATGCCGCTTGTAGATTGAAATTTGAATTTACTTTTAATATCATTTTCATTTTAATTTGATGGAAAACGATAGAAGTGTTACAGACGCATTAAGAAAGAACTAGTATTACAAGAAATATATAGTACGTGCGTTGTATACGAAAATTCATGAAATAATAACAAAAGAAAAATAGGAAATGTATAATAGTGCATATAGTGCAATAAGTGCATATTTTATTTAACGTCATGCATACACATTGATTACAACGCAAAGATAGATATTTGATAAACAATAATCTCCTCATTGGATTGATAAGCTAGGATCAAATTTAAATAACATTATTTACTGTATCAATGGTGATCTTTTCCTTAATCATCAGGAATCTGTGTCTATCCTCATTAATATTCTCAAGAATTTCTGCTCGATCTACCCTTGGAAACTGACTAGTTGGTATGCATAAAGTATGCTCTTCGAATCTTGCGATTTCCATAAAGTTTGACTTAATAGATATGCGTCTCTGCTCTCTCAATTTTTACAAGATCCTACCTGCTCACTGGAAAACTATGTAATTCGTATTGAACACATAGAGCGCGACTTCTTATTTAAATTATTTTAACTTTTTATCCGTGTAATGTTATTTAAATGACATTGAAACATATTCAGAGAAGGTTGCACACGTTTAGCAATAGTTTATATTTTATAGCTTTATAATCTTTAGCTTTGAAAATATTTTGAGTTGAATTAAAAATGTCATTTTTGAAACAATTATTAAAATGTTCACCAATCGAAAAGAAATAATAATTTCAAACTTAAAAAATTCATAGACTCAGAAAAATGTTGACAATTCCTGGAGCTAAGATTACGAGGTCATGTATGAAATTTCTGAGCGATCGGCTTCGCATTCTTCTGTGAAGAAAGTTTTCCAACGCGGAATCGCAGCAGGAGTTGTTATACAAAATTTCTTCTGCAACGATTGACTTGCGACCATAATGCACAGTGGCCGATCGCACACGGCGCAACCGAACCAGTTTCAAACCACTCTGAACTAGTTACATGCGACCAGGGGCGGCGTGACCTTTTGCGGGGCCGGATTCAAAAATTTTGCGGGGCCTGAATTCACATTCAAATCCTACATTTGAATTTTACAACGAGGAATTATTTATTTACGAATGCTATATATTTGTTATAAGATGAATATTAAACAATAATACTTTGATGATTTTGATCACTCCTTTCACTTTAATCATCGCTACTAAAAAAATGTCTTGCATCTCAGCAAAAATTGTTTCCATTTGTTAATGGTATCATCAGTCTGTAAAAAGTTAATCAAAATCGGTACCTTTTAATTCAGTAATTTTCGTAGACCGCGGGGCCTTTTAAAACGCGGGGCCGGGTACCGGCGAACGCGCTGAACCTGCCTTGCACGGCCCTGCATGCGACCGTGGATCTAGGTAAAAGAAAGATAGTTGAGTAGGTAAAACAAAGACCGCAAACGGTTTGCAACACTAATTTCAAATCGATTGCGCCGTGTGCGATCGGCCTTAGGCGAAAGTTGGGACAGTTTTTAACCTACGTAGCTTCAAAGAGTCGAATGCTCGACCTGAAATTAATCCCGTTACCTGCAACAACGTCAGATGAGGTTGAACGGACTTGAAATATTGCGATAACACCTTGAAAGGGGTGGATCGGGAGGTGATTTGAAACAACTTTTTCCTGAGCGAAAATGTTGTCCGAGGCTTCGTTGAGGAGATATTAACGGAAAACGTCGACCAATCAGAGCACGCGTATCCGTTAGAACGGCCGCGGTAGCGTACAAGAGCGGCCACTTAGCGTGTAGCCTACGCTTAACCGGCATACTCGCGCTCTGATTGGTCGGGATTTTTGCTAAGTGTCTCCTTAACAAAGCTTTAAACAATATTTTCGCTAAGGAAAAAGTTGTTTCAAATCACCTCTCGAACCACCTTTTTCAAGGTATTACAACATTTTTGGGACACCCTGTATATCGTCGGATTAGAGGAGGTTGTTGTACCTTTCCGTTGGTTCGTTCGCCCCTTTTCGATTCAGTTGACCGGCAACGTGGCACCGGCTCGGGGCATTCAACAGGTATCTATACAATCGATGTGTGTTCGCGCGGTGGCATCCCTCTCGGCTCTGTTGTGTTGGTATCAGTGATCTGCGCTTCCTTCGAAGAGACGCTTGCGCCGGTAAGGCAGACTCTGGCGTTCCATGAGCACCCGGTTCGTTATTAGTACGCCGTCAGCCGTCGAAGCTGGACGATCTTTTGTCGCGGTCTCTTTCAAACGTCGCGTTATTTTTGTTTACGTTCACCGCTTCTCTATTAAACTCGTTCTCGATCCGAATATGCGTTACGTTTCGCGATTAATCTCGATCGTGTCCGCGATGCAGTGATTAAAACCAGTGACTCGATCCTCGATTTCGTCCAGTGGTTCGATGACTGTCGATACGATTCGCGTATCGAACTGCGTTCGATTATCGAAAGTGAAATCCTCGTGAGGGACGCCATCCTCTTCGAAGAAGTAATGTGTGAGAAACGGCGAGGCTGCTTTTTACCACGACGCGTTTAATTGTCCGGGACTGCTGTGCACGGGACCATAAAAGTTGATCTGGCTTAGGGAACAGGACTAACTGGTATGTAACGGAGGAAGAGTAATAAATGTTTATACCGCGAAACTGATCTTTGGTACCGGTGTCAACGACTCGTTCGGGATTAATGGAAGTAGGGTTGCCGACCATGTCTAAGCATGTGAACAAATAACGCGATAAATTTGTTTTCCGTACCGATTCGGAGCGTTATATGTATATTTGCTGAAGATAGTCGTAAGAAAGTAGAATATGGTAAGAGTTCGATGTTCTTCGTTGCGTAGAAATCAAAGCGGAAAATGACAGGCCTCGCGGATAAATTAATAATAATACTGCAGGTACATTTGGTAGCTAGTCTACCGCGAAGCATTCATGTATCGGTGTATTGTCACGAACACGACATTCCGTCGAACGATTTACGCTAGAATAACTATCAAGTGGTCCAAATCTTATTAGCCTAGAAGAGATTAGCTCGCTCGTCGTTTTCCACTCCGGAAAAATTACACATCGAATTCCTACCATACTCGATTTCGATGCTCGAACACGTCACCATTTTACCACGAAGGGCGTGCGTTCTATATATAACAAGATAAAAAGAAGCAAGGTCGCAAAGAGTCGAAGAAAGGATTGTCCTTTCGAGGAAGGTTGTCGGTCCTAAGTGGAAGCATAACGAAGCGAACGGTTTACATGAGAGAGAAATCGCGTCGCGATGGCTTGCACGTACACATGCATATTTAACGAAGCCCCCTGTAAAAGTTTGCCAAGCGATGTTTCGAAATCGTCGAAGGCACCGATACACGTAGAGGCCGTGTGTCTCGGAGACGTTCCTCGAACGCAAATGCACCGTGTCGAGCCACGTTTTCTCTTTTTTCGTTTTCTGTTCCGCGCGTTTCCGCGCGTCCATGTTCGTCCCCCCTCCACGCTGGTTCGCTTATTAACTCGTTCCCTTCTATCCTTCATCCGATGATCCGAAGTATCTTACGATCGAAACTTTCTGCAGACAAAGCAGGTATCTATAACCTTCGGATAAAAATAATTTAAGTTATCTTTATCCTTTGAGTACGTTTACCTCGAATACATTTTTTTATCTGGCAGTCATCGAATAAAGATAAAGTTATGTAAAGTTATGTATATAAGATACAAATTTTTCATCTTTATTCGATATTTCAAAATTTTATTTAGATAAAGATTTTGCCCATATCTGCTTCATCGGCCGTGCAGGACGCATATACAGCGTGTCCCAAAAATGTTGTAACACCTTAAAAAGGGGTGTCGGAAGGTGATTTGAAACAACTTTTTCCTTAGCGAACATGTTATCCGAGGCTTCGTTGAGGAGGTATTAACGGAAAACACTGATCAATCAGAGCGCGCGTATACCGATGGACCGGCTGCAGTAGCGTACGAGAGCGGCTGCCTAGCGGGTAGCCTACGCTCAACCGGCATACTCGCCCTCTGATTGGTCGGGGTCTTTTGTTAATATCTCCTTAACGAAACCTCGGACAACATTTTCGCTAAGGAAAAAGTTGTTTGAAATCATCTCCCGAACCACCCT